CTTGTGTTCATGTGTTTCTTGTGTTCATGTGTCCCTGTGTTTCATGTGTTTCCCTTGTGTTTCATGTGTTTCTTGTGTTTCATGTTCTTGTGTCCCCTGTGTTTCCCCCGTGTGTCATGTGTCCCCTGTGTTTCTTGTGTTTCATGTGTCCCCTGTGTTTCATGTGTTGTTTCCCCTGTGTCCCATGTGTCCCCTGTGTTTCATGTGTCCCCTGTGTTTCATGTGTCCCCTGTGTTTCATGTGTTTCCCCTGTGTTTCATGTGTCCCCTGTGTTTCATGTGTCCCATGTGTTTCATGTTTCTTGTGTTTCATGTGTTTCTTGTGTTTCTTGTGTCCCCTGTGTTTCATGTGTCCCCTGTGTTTCATGTGTTTCATGTGTTTCTTGTGTCCCCTGTGTTTCATGTGTCCCCTGTGTTTCATGTGTTTCATGTGTTTCTTGTGTCCCCTGTGTTTCATGTGTCCCCTGTGTTTCATGTGTTTGTGTTTCTTGTGTCCCTGTGTTTCATGTGTCCCCTGTGTTTCATGTGTCCCCTGTGTTTCTTGTAGTGTCCCTGTGTTTCCTGTGTCCCATGTGTTTCATGTGTCCCCTGTGTTTCTTGTTTCATGTATCCCTTGTGTTGTTTCCCCTGTGTTCTCTTGTGTTTCATGTGTCCCCTGTGTCCCTGTGTTTCATGTGTCCCCTGTGTTTCATGTGTCTGTGTCCCCTGTGTTTCATGTGTCCCATCTGTGTTTCATGTGTCCCCTGTGTTTCATGTGTTTCATGTGTTTCTTGTGTTTCATGTGTCCCCTGTGTTTCATGTGTCCCCTGTGTTTCTTGTTTCATGTGTCCCCTGTGTTTCTTGTTTCATGTGTCCCCTGTGTTTTTTCATGTGTCCCCTGTGTTTCTTGTGTTTCATGTGTCCCCTGTGTTTCTTGTGTTTCATGTGTCCCCTGTGTTTCATGTGTCCCCTGTGTTTCATGTGTCCCCTGTGTTTCATGTGTCCCCTGTGTTTCTTGTGTTTCATGTGTTTCTTGTGTTTCATGTGTCCCCTGTGTTTCATGTGTCCCCTGTGTTTCTTGTGTTTCATGTGTTCTTCCCCTGTGTTTCATGTGTCCCCTGTGTCATGTGTCCCCTGTGTTTCATGTGTCCCCTGTGTTTCATGTGTCCCCTGTGTTTCATGTGTCATGTGTCCCTGTGTTTCTGTCCCCTGTGTTTCATGTGTCCCCTGTGTTTCATGTGTACCCTGTGTTTCATGTGTCCCCTGTGTTTCATGTTGTGTTTCATGTGTTTCATGTGTTGTGTTTCTTGTGTTTCATGTGTCCTGTGTTTCATGTGTTTCTTGTGTTTCATGTCCTGTTTCATGTGTCCCCTGTGTTTTCATGTGTCCCTTGTTTCATGTGTCCCCTGTGTTTCATGTGTCCCTCATGTGTCCCTGTGTTTCCTGTGTCCCCTTTGTTTCTTGTTTCATGTATCCCTTGTGTTTCCTGTGTCCCCTGTGTTTCTTGTGTCATGTATCCCTTGTGTTTCCTGTGTCCCCTGTGTTTCCTGTGTCCCTTGTGTTTCATGTGTCCCCTGTGTCCTGTGTTTCATGTGTCCCCTGTGTTTCATGTTGTGTTTCTTGTGTTTCATGTGTCCCCTGTTTCGTGTTCATGTGTCCCTGTGTTTCTGTGTTCATGTGTCCCCTGTGTTTCATTGTGTTTCATGTGTCCCCCGTGTTTCTTGTGTTTCATGTGTCCCCTGTTTTCTTGTGTTCATGTGTCCATGTGTCCCCTGTGTGTTTCATGTGTCCCCTGTGTTTCTTGTGTTTCATGTGTCCCCTGTGTTTCATGTGTCCCTGTGTTTCATGTGTCCCCTGTGTTTCTTGTGTTTCATGTGTCCCCTGTGTTTCATGTGTTTCTTGTGTCCCTTGTGTTTCTTGTGTGCCCTGTGTTTCTTGTGTCCCTTGTGTTTCATGTGTCTGTCCCCTGCCTCTTGTTCAGTTTGTTTTGTCCCTGTGTCCCCTGTGTTTCATGTGTTTCTTGTGTCCCTTGTGTTTCATGTGTCCCCTGTGTTTCATGTGTCCCTGTGTTTCTTGTGTTCCTTGTGTTTGTCCCCTGTGTTTCATGTGTCCTTGTGTTTTGTGTCCTGTGTTTCATGTGTCCCCTGTGTTTCTTGTGTCCCTTGTGTTTCTTGTGTCCCCTGTGTTTCATGTGTCCCTTGTTTCTTGTGTCCCTTGTGTTTCTTGTGTCCCCTGTCCCCTGCCTCTGTCTCAGTGTTTGTTTTGTCCCTGACGTGTCGCTGCGTGTTCTCGGTGAGCCTGAGCCTTTGCCGTGTGGACCCTGCAGTCTGTGTGAGATTCCTGCCTCCCTGGTTTCTGCTTGTTGAACAGCATTCAGTGTTCAGGGCTCAGTGTTTGTTCCCGAGTCTGCAGGCTGGTGTTTGCTCGGGAGTCCACAGGACCAAACCTCAAATCTGCTCATCCCGGGAGGAGCCACTGCTTCTGTTGGGGTGAGGAGGTGACAGCGACTCCATCATCATGGAATAAAGTCGAGCAGGAGCTCACCATCTGTGTGACGGGTGCTCGGCTGCTGCGCTCCGTCACACGCTGCTGCGTGTTGGGTGAAGCTTGGTTCCACCTTCGGGCCATCACCTATGGTCCTCTCTGGGAGGGACTGACAGAACGGACCACAGGTGACCGGCAGGACGTCACAATCCACCAGGAGGAGATAACCTGCTCCTGTCGCTGCAAGGCAGCTCCACCTCAGAACAGGAGAATGGGTGGATGCTGGTTAATGTGAGCAGCTTCAGCGTCTGTTGGTGAAGAGACTGAGAGGAGAGCACATCCTCCACTGAGATCTTTCTTTGTCATTGTAAAAAGATCCGCATCAGCTCACAGATTCATCGGCTTCTCCGTCTCGCTCCACCTCGCACCAACTTTCATCACATGCAACCGCCGGCGTTCTCCTAATCTTACTGACGGCGTGCAGTCTTATGATCTGAGGTCTGTTGGAGCTAACTGTAAAGGGTCCTTCACACAACGGCTCCACCAATCAGCACGCTGAAGAAACGGGAACACAAACGTGTCCACGCAGAGTCACACAGCGAGGCGGCTCCTCGCAGGCAGCAGAGATCTGTGATTGGACGGAGCTGCTTAAAGGCCCGCTCTGCGTCTGTCGTGTTCCAGGTGAAGGTTAGTTGGTTTATGGGAGATGATGTTTCTGATAAACCTCCAAACAGACCAGATCTGTAGGGCGCTGCCTGTGGATGCTGCAGACGGTCCATCTGTGTCTCAGGTTCTGGTGACGTCCTGCTGTGTCCTGCACACATCAGCTCTGCTGGTTGTAACGTTTCACTGCAGATCAACATGGCAGCCGTCCAAGCAGCCAGTCTCACAGCCTGCCCTCAGCTGAAAGAGGATCTGATTGCGGCGGGGGGGACAAATCGAAGGCCATAAAGTGAGAGGGTGGGGTGGGGGGGTGAATAAATGGAGGGCAGGAGTTAAAGGAGAAGCTGTGCTCAGCATGTTCAGTCTGTGACTGCAAGCAGGAGTCACATCTGTGATGAACAGCTCAGAAATCAGAGTTTCAGTCTGGAGCACCAGCAATGTTTGTGGCTCCTCCTCAGAGCATGGAACAAACGCTGTGCTCATTCATGGAAGCCACAACGAGCCGCTAAGTGCACTCGCGTCCATCTTTGCAGGGTAAGATGTGCCTGAAACTGCAGAGCTCCAACTGTCCTGAATCTCTGCAGCACGATTGGCTCATTAACCTCCTGATTTGGTTGCCTATTAGCTTGTTAGTTGCAGGGGTGGGACATAGATAACCATTCAGGTGGAGAGAAGCTGATGATTTACCATCGATCTGTGACCCCGCCCTTACCCGAGGCCACAGACGACAGCAGAAACGAGGCGTGGGTTTAACAAATCGATTTTAGTCTGAATAACGGGATATCGATCGATTAAGTCCTGGGTCGATTATTATTGGCAGAAACGCCTGAAACTCAGCTTAAAGCTCACAAAACTATTTCAACAACCACCAAACAGCTAAAACAGTAAATGAGAGACGGTACAAACACGTGGACACAGAGCGTGGATCGTTCACCCGACGGCACGGACACGTCGTCGGGCTGAAAGCCCGCAGCTCACAGGTTCTGATGCTGCAGTTTCGTCACTGTGACCAAAACTGACTGAACCAGCAGCACAAGAAGATCAAACTACGCTTCACGTTTGATAAACGTTGTATTTAATTCGCTCTGACTTCCTGCACAGCTCCTGCTATGTTGATTCATGGTTTTTGATCGACTGCAGAATATTTTTCTTCATGTTTTCCTGTTGTGATGCTTACACCTCTGATGGTTATGTACTGATAAATGATCAGAATTATAACATTTCTGGCTGCCCGAGGCAAAAATCGAATGGGGACGTTCTGAATCATAACGGAGTAAGTTGTAAACCAGAGATGATACTCAGCAGAAACGAGCTTCGTCTGGACGATGGCTCGGCTCTCAGCGAGTGTCCCCGCAGCCGTTTCCTGCTTGGTGTTCATTAAACACACCGTGTGATTGGTTTGGTATTTTGTTGGTAGGAGTTCTCTAAAAGTTCAGAGCGAGGCGGCTCAGAACGAAGTTCAGCAAAGTCAGGTTTTCTCTGTGTTCGCTGGCTTAATAAGTGCTCAAACCCAGAGATAGATTCACCGCGGTGGTTACCAGCCGGGCTCTGGGCTTCAGGCTCTCGCTGCTGCTGTTGTTTCTGAGGTGATGGAGAGTAATGTCCCGCCCTCAGCGCAAACTTACAGGAAGTACTTCAACATAATCCTGTAAGTTTTGGAAGGATCCTTTGACACTGCGAGCTCAGGCAAAATGAGATATTAGTTTCATGTCTTCAACGATCTGCATCACACCTGTACAGGTCACCTCTATGTTTACAAACTAATGACATCGCAGAGTTTAGTTTCCTGATGTTTTCACCACATCCAATCAGCTCTCCTTCCCTGCAGAGATCCTCAGATCAGCCCATGAACAGCCCTGTTTGTGTCCCCCACAGACACCGACTACATCAGTGAGGAGGAGAAGCACAGGGTGGAGCTGATGTTGGCCTTTCTCACCGAGGAGTCCAAGCAGGCTGCAGCCAGCACAGCTGTAAGTACACCTGCACCTGTCACACCTGTAAGCACGCCAATGTAAAAAACATGGACGTGGCGATGTGACCCGTCGCTCACAGACCTGGTTATGGTTCTGCATCCACAGACTTCATGAGAGCCTCACACAGGCTCAGGTACCTGCTGTTACTGATATGTAACAGCAGCCATTAGGGCGGGGCCATATCATACCGTTCAGGGTAATACCAGTGTAATGTTGGGCAACGACAAGAAAATGAAACATGGCGATAGAATACGGGTAAAACGCACATGCGCAGTGCCTTTGTTTTCATACACACATGGCGGAAAAAGCATGGCAGCGACGGAGAATAAGAAGGGCGAAAGCGGATCGTTGAATGAAACCATGAACCTGAACTGGTTTGTAAAAATGCTGCAGCTTCACTGGTGTGGAACTGGTTTAGCTTTCGTCCGTCAGATACACAACAAAGCACTATTTTTGGTAGCGCATGCTAGCGGGCCGTCGTTATTACCGTGTTGTTTGGAAAATACGGCGCACTTAAAATCAATCCTTTGATTTTTCTGAAAGTCGACAGAGCCCCTTATAATCCCGTGTGCCTTATGTATGAACTCTGGTTGTGTTTACTGACCTCGAAACGATTTTATGTGCACGGCGCTCGAAAATCTGTCAGATGTTTCAGTACGACTTTGCTGAGCTACGAAGCCGCACCGCTTGATGGATTGTTGGAGCGTTACGGCTATCGTAGGCGGAGCCTCGCGGAGTGATACGTACTGTGCTTCAACATAATGTTACCGTGTTGTGTGTGTATAACCTCTTTAAGTTTGTGGATGTTATACATGGTTATGCTGAGGATGTGTCGGCCAGTTTCCACTGGAAATGCCTTTTGGTTAAACTGTCAGCGAGGAATTTGCACTGTTAAATGTTTATATAACTTTAATGCACATTAAAAACAGCTGCTTGTTGAAGTGGAAATACATTGATGTTGTTTTGCACTAATAAAGTTGTGGAGTTGTAAAGTATTTTGTCTAGAGTCAATTATATCGTCAGTTATATCGTTATCGCAAATTTTCAAGTGTATATCGTGATAAATATTTTTGGACATATCGCCCTGCTTTAGCAGCCCTATTATTGGTCACATGATTCATTAAAAATGCCCCAACACCGCACACACAGTGCAGTTCAGGTGAAGCTAGCAGACAGCTAGCAGCTACAGCCGCCTGGGTCACCATCCACCTGTCAGTCACAGAGGCCACGCCCCTAAAAAAACATTAAATATTGAGCTCTAAAAAGGATTTACTCGTTCAGGAAGTGAATTCTGTCCAATGTGGAGCTGCTGACAGCGGCGACACCACGAAGCCGCTTCTTCTTCTTCTGTTGCTATTAAGGTGGAGTTCTGGCAAATGCATGGGCTTTTATAGCGCCAAAGCACTTTCTGCTGCACCACCCACACACCACTCACAGAGCTTCCATCTATGCCTTAGTGCTGTCTAACACACACAGATGGACATTGGGAGGAGCTCGGGGTTCAGTGTGTGTGGTTATTGCTGCTGGTTCTGGGACGTGTGCGCTCTGCATGTTTGCATAAAGCAGGCGCAGTAAACTGTTAGAATAGAGATGTTGGTATTTATTTATAGCTGCTGAGACTCTTTAAACCTGCTGATGCTGATTATGCGCTCACAGGAAAACGCCGCTGCCTGTGTGAGGACTAAAGTAAACCTGAACACAACAGAAGGATAATTAGTCTGTAATTAATAAGTGATGAAGCTGACCTGACCATAGCAGATTAAAAAGTTAAAGTTTGGAAAAACGTGATTGTGAGAGAAAGCCATTTCCTGCGAGGTGTCTGTTCGTCCTGCTCGCCGTCTCCGCGGAGAAACCCGATCCTGGACTCTCCCCGTTGTCTCCACCGCAGAGCTCGGCCGGCTGAAGTGGAGGATTTATTATTGATAAAGCAGGAGAAGCGCTGCGTGTAAATCACTTTCCTGCAAAGTCATGCTCAGAGAACCGGAAATGAAATAAGAGCCAAAATATTATTAGAAGCTGGTAATGAAAGCACAGCGTTCAGTCAGCCTTCAAAGACGGAGACACTGAGGACGTGAAAAATGGAAAAGAAAGCAGAGTGTAAGTGCCGCCTGAGGTGGATTTCCACAAACCCACTAATGGCTCTCTGCTCTCGTTCAGCTGCGAGTAGGAAATGACTTTTGCTAATGTGAAGTTATGCTGCTTGTTTGGAAAGTGTTCCTATCTCTCTC